AGCCTAAATGAAATGTCTAACTCCTTCCTTTCATTGATTCATTCATTATATAGATTTTTCCCAGAATCCTATGTAATTTTCTAATATATTTATGATTTCTAATAATATGTGATCTAATATATTTAGTGAGATATTTATGCACTGGGAAGCTGAGCACCTCATTTGGGTGTGGTTATACCACAGGCAGCTCCTTTGGAAAAGCAATGTTCAGCCAAATTTGTCTGTGTGCAAGTTTGGGATGTTTGCGTATGACTTTCAGTGGCAGAAATCCAGCTTCATCAAGAGCGTGACAAGTCTGTTAATTCCCTTGAATATTTGGAGGCAATAAACTTTTGGGGCTTATAACTTCCTAAATTTTATTGAATCCTTGTCATGACTCTGAGTAGAAAGCTTCAAGTAGAACATAACTGTCCTTGGTCTTTTTGTACCAAAACATCAGTGAGGATTTCTTGGTTTAATTTATTTATAATGTTTGCATTTAAACCATCTTTAGACAACATGCAACATAACTACTCCATTAAGAAAATGTACATTCAGCGCTTGACAAATGTTAGAGCTGTATAAATGATGGTAATTATTGTTGTTATGGTGGAGGTGGTGATTATTACTCTTGACCTGAAGGTAGGAAATTTAACTTTTCAGAACAGAGCAAAGCTATTGCCATTTATGGAGACAGTGAGAGAATCCAATTACTATACAACCTGGGTGAGCCAGAGATGAGCTTTCTGACAACTTCAGATGTTTAGAACTGCTCTTGGTAGAGGGCCAAACAAAGAAGACATTTTTGCCAGCAAAGAAGCCGTTTCTGAGAATCAAGAAATCTAAGAGCAAAAGATTACATTTGATTTTCTCTGATTGGTGGGTTTGTTGACTAGAACAAATGCTCTTGTGTGGGCTCGCAATGATTATAAAAGACAAGCCACTTTCTGCAAAAGGCAGGAATTAAAAAGGGACAGGAGACAGAAGGAAGAGAGAGGCAAAGACAAGGAGTGGTGGCCATTATGGTGTTAGCAGAAGTGTCAGAGATTAAAAGCTCTAAGCTGGCTATTGAGCAGCAAACAGCTGAGGTCAGCAGTGAAGAGTCAGAAGAGAAGAACCCTGCAGGCAGTTAGGCAGGTGGGAACAATGGAACAGCCTATCCCTTGAAGACAGGCATTTTTACAACATATCAGTTTGTATATAAGATTCTGGTAGGAATGGTGTAAGGGTTAGATAATACAGCCTGAGATTCACTAGTCCCTAAAGTCTAGTAGTCAGGAGGGCATCTATATGTCACACTGAAGGTACATCAATCATTATAGAAAATGACTACTTTTCCAGACCTTTTTCTTATTATACTTATTTACAAACATATTCTAGCAAGACTAGAATATAAAACTTAACCCAAACTAGTTCTTGTATTCTCTCTGACATTATCCTTTTTCTTTTTTAATGACTCAAGTATTGTTATTGATACTTCTTTGTTTTGTCTGCAGCTGTTGCAATCTTCATATTCGGTTTTCTCATTTGCAGTTTTTCTCATTAGTAAATAAATAATCTTTTGGTCTGACTAATCACTAACAAAAATACTATATTTTTATATATGAAGTTTTTTACATGGAATATTAGCTTTCCTTAAAACGCAACAGACCATTACTTGTGGGGTTTTCTTGTTTTAAATTAATTGAAGAAATTAACAAGCATTTATTTTCTGTCTGTCTTTTCTCCACCCCACACCCAATTGAGAAAGAAAAATGAAATTGTAACAAATGTGCAGAACAAATATGTCAAGCAAAACAAATTCTTCCCAGGTTGGCTATGTCCAAAAATATCTTATTCTGTGTGTCAGGCAGTGAGTAGTATTCTCTATCATGAATCCTCTGGAATCATGGTTAGTCATATTGTTGATTAGAGTTAAGGCTTTAAAGTTCATTTTTACATTGCTGTTATTGTATAAATTGTTCCCCTGGTTCTGTTCACTTCACTCTAAATCAGTTCATACAAGTCTTCCCAGGTTTCTCTGGGCAATAATTTTCCCAGTGAGAAATTATCATAAGAAAATAGTTTCTTATGGCATCAGAAGATTACATTACATTCATAGGGCATACTTTGTTTAGCTGTTCCCTATTGGCTACATGGCATAGTGTTTTGATCAAACTCTGTTTCCAGTATTAGGAAGACTTATGTTCAGATCTGGCCACAGACACTTGCTCTTCCCTCAGTTGTCACCTTCCTTATGAAACCTTTCATTGACTCCCTTCCCAATTGTTAGGATAACTCTAGTCTGTTTTAATGTCATAAGATGGTAATTTCATAGATTTTGAGATGGAAGAGACCTTACAGATTATTTACTACTATTTTTTGTACTAGATACAAAATCTTATTTTATAGATGACAAAAGTGAGGCCCAGAAAGAGGAAGGCATTTTCCCAAAGTTACACAAATGGTGCATAACAGGGATGCGATTTAAACATAATGGCTTCAACTCAACTCCAGTTATCATGCTTCCCAGAGGAATTTTTGAGTACCTAGCTCTGCCATGTACTACCTGTGTGACTTTGGGCAAGTCAACTTTCCCCAATGGGCCTTAGTTCTTTTTCTCCTTCACCCTCCACCTCACCACCCCTGTTCCCCCCAAATGAGGAGTTGGAGTAGATATCATTCAGTGCTTCTTCCAGCTCTAAGATATTATTATTATGTCTCTCTGGGACCAAGTAAAAGAAATAAGAGCAGCTGACCCAAGTCCATGGTCCCAGTGCTTGTTGAAAATCAGTGGAAAAATAGGAAGAAAAAAATATTTTGGGAACTGTTCCTATTCTTTTCATACTTTAAGAATCCCCCCACCCTGGGCCAATTTTCGAAGTTTATAATTTTTCCATATTGCCCAGGATCCTTTAAAAGAAGAAACAAAGAAAAGTAATAAAGAAAAAAGATTCTGTTTAGGTGATAGAAAGTATTTTCTTTTTCATTATATTAAAATGTGTCATATCCTACTTTTGATTTATGAGAAATGAGATATAAACTGCTTTTGTGCTTAAATCATGGTGTCATTTGGAAGAAAATTTTTCCCCGTTTCCTTAGCTGAAAACTTTATTCTTCAATGACTTTATTTATTGTTGCTGGGATTACTCAGTGTTTGGTTTTCTTTGGTAATGGCAGGGTTTATGTAACAACTTGCCCTTTCTTGTTCAAAAGGTTGGCAGTCTGAGTATTTCTGGTCCATATTTCACCAGAAAATGTGGATTTTATGGAAACATTTTACACAAAGAGCTTTAAATATTTATTCCTGTCTAGATTATGACACAAACTTACTTAGGTCTCTGCAATATAATCTTGATGTAGGCCTCTTCTGCACAAAGTCATTTCACATGAAATAGTAAGTGACGTCTTGGAGGATACTTAGTTTCACATGAGAAATTACTTTTTTCAGTGGACTTTTCAGTGTGAAGGGTACAAGATTGTTCAAATTTCTCATTCATTGTGGTGATATTTTTGAAAACTTGTGAGATAAATAGTACAGACATTATCGCCATTTTACAGTTCAGGAATCTGAGGTTCAGAGAGAATGCTTGCAAGTAAAACCATAGCTAGGGTATATAAATAGGTTGACCAGGACTTTCCCCTAGAGTGATAGATTTAGAGGGTATTGATAGTATTTGTAACCCTTCAGTAGTTTAGAAGAAACAGAATTTAGTGTCTAGTTGGAAGGATTATTAGCTTAAAAAGGAAGGGTGGACCCAGGTGGTAGACCAGAAATAAATGCCATCCTCCCCAAAACAAACAAAAACAACCCTTAAACACACTTTATGTCCTTGGACAAGGGACAGTTGGTGGACTTACCTCAGGGGTAGACATTGATAGTTACAGTTATATCTCAATGAATGCATGATACACACAGGTCTATAACAGGATATCCCCCCTCTCCCCAAGTAAATGTACTTTTTCCACGTTAAAAAACTTTAACTGCTGTCATATTAATCAGGAAGACACAAAATAACCATAGGACAAAATCTTTCTACTATAGGGACTTTGGAATAAACACTCATGATGCAAAGTAGCACGTATTGATGTACCAAGATGTGTTTCATAACCATTGAATGCTGTCAAGTTCATAAAAGTTGGAATGATGAGAAAGCTTCATAGAGGACAGGAAATTTAAGTGGTGCTCTTCATCGTAGGTAGGAGTAGCACTGAGAGGAAGGGGAGTCTAGAAAGGAAGAAAAGCATGAGTGGAGGCATTCTAAAGACAGTGCTGAGAACTGATTAGAGAACAGGCATGAGAGTTCTGGCTGCAGTGGAGAGTTCAAATTGGAGAGATTAATGGAAAATGATTTCTGATTGATGAATGTTCATCATGTCTACCAGATCTGAGACCTACCACTCTGTAATCTGGCCTTACTTCCTACTCTATGCTCTGGGAGCAATAATTAAATCAAATTAACACTAACCATTCTTGGAAAGGGTGTGTAAATCAGAGTCCAGTGATTCTGCTGACCATCCGTGTGACTTACTGACCAAAGCACCTCTCTCTGGTCAACGTTTCATTATATAGATTATCTTCTTCTACTAAAAATGTGAACTTCTTGAGGCAGGGACCATCTGGCTTTTTGTATTTGTACCTCCAGCATTTAGCACAATGACTAGCATATAGTAGGTCCTTAATAAATGTCTCTTGATTGGTATAAAATAAGCACTTAATAAATGCTTTTCCATTCATGTACAACTTTGGGTAAGCACTTGACTTTCTTTTCATGGATGAGCTAAGTCTGTGAAGATTTAAATTTTTTAAATTTTGTTATATAAATACAAATTTCTGTTCCCCACTTTCCACAGACAAATGAAGTTATTCACGAGACTGCAAATTCCCATTGGCTTTACAGAGTCAATTTTAATGGAATTTCTTACACATGTGTGTGCGTGCATGCGTGTGTGTGTGTGTGTGTGTGTGTGTGTGTGTGTGTGTGTGTGTGTGTAATATAGTCTGGAGCAGAACATACTAAGTGTTTTTATTCCCTTTCTAGGCCGGACCTGATAGACATGAATTCTGTTGCTGTTCAAAGCAACCTTGCAAATTTAGAACATGCTTTTTATGTAGCAGAAAAAATTGGTGTCATAAGACTTCTTGACCCTGAAGGTGAGTGGTTGTTTTGTCTCTTCTATATCTTACCCATTGTAAAAGTTTGATCCAACTTAGCCAGTCAGAGTGATGAAATAACCAATTCCTTTTGCCACTTAGATGTTGATGTCTCCTCACCTGATGAAAAGTCAGTGATAACCTATGTGTCATCACTCTATGACGCATTTCCCAAGGTACCAGAAGGCGGTGAAGGCATCAGTGCTAATGTAAGTAGGAGAGTACATCAACTTATTCAGTTTCAGATTGATTTTCCATGCTTCATATTACCAGTTGATCACTGGCCAGGTGACTGGGTTCTTTATTAACTGACAATAGCTAGATAAAGAATATTGACTTGCTGTTTTAACTTAATGAGTCATTGCTTTAATTTTGGACATCTGCTAAATAATTCTAATTAAAATATTTGATTCAGATACAGAATATAATTGGATAGCATCATATAAGTATCCTACTAACATTACTATTCATTCAATAAACATTTATTAAGCACCTACTATATACAAGGTTCTGTGGATATAGAGACAAATGAAACAGTTCTTTCCCTTAAAGTGCTTATATTCTGTTGGGGGAGCCATAACATAGTATGCAAATATTAAATGTGAATAAATATGAAATATATACCTGTAGATATAAAGATAGAAAATACGAAGTAGTTTCAGAGGGCCAGGTGTTGGCCATGGAAGAGATCAAGATTAGCCTCATGGAGGAGGTAATGCTTTATCCACACCTTGAAGGTTGCTAGGGATCCCCTTTAGTATTTTAGTGTATAAATTATCAGAGTAATTTTTATCTCAAAATAATTCTGTTTCACACAGTGTATAGTACTACTCTGTTTCCTTTAAATTTGGATATTTCAGCATTTTAGCTTAATGTCTCTCTGCTAAACTCCATTCTTCTCTTAAACTACTCCATCGGTGCCTCATTGTGTCATGGAGGATACACTAGATTTTCAAAAATCATGCCATCATAGTGCAAATTTTGTCAGACACAGCCAAGGTAGAAACACTTCAGATATGGGCCTGCCAACAGACTATGTATCTGTTGTCTGAGAAACAGGTTAGTTGTCACCAAAGAGTGTCATCAGAATATTGACTGCCGGGTGAGAATTTATTTTTATTCACCAAAGTTCAGTGAACGATATTAAGGGGTCGAAGGGCACTGATCTTCATGTTCTAAGGTTAGTGACCATCCCTTTAAAATCGCAGATCCTAGAGGTATATATATATATATGGTATATATAGTATGCTTCAATTTGCATTTGAACTCCGTAGCTCTTTCTTTTGGATGTGGATGGCATTTTCCATCATGAGGCCTTTGGAGATGTCTTAGATCCTTGTATTGCTGGGAAGGGTTAAGTTCATCAACATTAGTCATGGCACAGCATGGCTGTTACTGTGTACAACGTTCTCCCGGTTCTGCTCACTTCACTCAGCATCAGACCATACAAGTCTTTCCCTCACTGAGACTTTTGCTTATTGTCCCTACTTCTGTCCTTTGGGTATGAGTGAAACAAATTTTTTCTGTCTTATGTGTAAAGGCCATTTAAATACTTGAGCACAGCCATCCCACTAAGTCTTGTCTTTCCCAAGCTAACTTCATATCTTCATACGGCATGAACTAGAGGCTTGTCCTCATCTTGGTAGCTCTTCTCTGGATACATTCCAACCTGACCTTTCTGAAATATGGTGCCTAGAACTGAGTGTGATATTCCATATGTGGTCTGACCAAAGTAGAGAACAATAGTATTATAATCTCCCTTGTCCTGGACAAGAGAAGAAATGTTTCTCTTAATGCAGCTTAAGATCATATTAGGATTCATGGCTGTCACGTTGCACTGTTGACTCATTCAGTTTTCAGTACATTGAAACCTCTAGATATTTTCTTTTCAGATAAACTCTTCTACTCATACCTCTGCCAACTTGTACTTACGAAGTTAATTTTTTTTTAAGTCCAGTTGTAACACATAATACACATCCCAATTTATGTCATCCTTTTAGATTCAAGCCAGGGTTCTAGCTTGTAGCAAACTTTTTGAATACAAACTCTCTCTCATTCTTTGTGTTGGCTATCTCTCCCAGTTTTGTGTCATAAACATGCCATTTAAACCTTTATCTAAGTCATTGGTAAAAATATTGCATAGGACAAGACCAAAAATATATCCCAGGAGCATTCCCTTAGATTTCATCTTCTATGCTGAAACTGATCATTAATGACTTCTGTTCAGGTCTTGTCACTTAGCCAGTTTTGAATTCACCCACTAGGCTTCCATGTTTCCCACATCTCAACCATCTTTCCTGTGTGATAGCAAAAAAGGATTTGTCTAACACTTTGCAAAAATCAAGGTAAATTGTATTTGGCTCTCCTTTGCTCCATTTCCTCCCTGTTGCTCTAAGATAAAATGTAACTATCTTTGTCATTGAAAGCCCTTCATAATCTCGTTCCAGATCACCTTTCCAGGTCTGTTACGTGTTATTTCTCTTTGCACACTTTATGTTCCAGCCAAAATGGCCTACTTGCTGTTCTTCATATGTGACATGTCCTTACCTATGTGCCTTTCCACAATCTGTCCCCCTTAGCTACAATGTCTGTCCCCCAAAGCTGGAATGAACACTCTCCTCACTGCTGACTTTTAGAATCTCTAGTTTCTTCCAGGACTCAGTTGGCATGCCATTTCCTACAAAAGGCCTTTCTGGATCACCCTAATTATAAAGTTCTTCTATTACGGTATTGATTTGTACTTACTTTGTATATTTTTGTATTTACTTCCCTGTGTACTTTTTTTCTTTCTGGGAGAAGGTAAACTTTTTAAAGAACTACGTTATTTTCATTTTTATCTTATGTTCCCTCCTTACCTAGTACAATTCTTGGCACAATTGGTGCTTAATAAATGTTTATTAAATGAAAGAATTAAATGCAGAATACTGATGTGTATTTGGCTATGCGTGTATTTCTTTTTAATTATTTGTGTTGCATTCTAGGATGTTGAAGTTAAGTGGATTGAATACCAGAATATGGTAAACTACCTCCTTCAGTGGATCAGGCACCATGTTACCATAATGTCTGACAGAACATTTCCCAACAATCCTGTAGAACTAAAGGTCAGTGTCATAAGTGATTATATTGTTCTCATTTAATAGATGATATTTTTGAGCTTAGTTGCATCTAGTACGTTGTTAATTTTTGAGTATTATAATTTCATGGTTTGTAGAAGTCCAGGAGAAAAACTTAAGCAAGTTATTCTGGGTCAGTGCTAATGTGGGCCTGTCTAGTGGTCCAGGCTCAATGATTAACATGCAGTGCAACACCAATAGACCATAAAATGTAATAAGTATTGGTTGTATGTAGTATTGGTAAGAGATTAGAAAATCCATTAAAAATGACACTGACTTAAAACATTGTACCTCCCTACCTCTGAATGCATTCACCAGAGGGTAGCATAAGCTTGGTTCTGACAGTTTTTCCCCATCTGAAGTTTCTTACACTTTAATAGAAAAAGGCTCCTCACCCCATCAGTGGACCAATCTTGTTAACTTGCTTCTGGTGAAACCTTCCATAGAAAAAGGGGAAGGAAGACTTAGGGATGAAAGTAAAAGGGAAAGGAGGAAGAAGAAGCTCTGACTCTATCTAAAATCATCTTAGTGACAGTGGGAAGCCAAGATCTAATCACATTCTGAGGATGAGAATGACTCTGTAGCTTGCAGAGTGGCATATTGTCCTTGGTATTTTGTTAGTATGGCTGAGATTCTCAGAGTACCATTTGTATGAAGGGGAATGGGATTATGGAAGGCTTTCATTAAATTCATATAAATGTAATGTAGAGTTTGAGGTGCTGGGCATACTAAAATTAAAGGGAAGAGAAACAACACCAGCTATAGAGTTCTTGCCCTCACATAATGCATTTCTGCTGGAGTTCATTATGCAATAGCATCTAATTATAAAATTTCTGTCAAAAGAAAAGATTAGAGGCTCTTGTTTTTTTATTAGGCTATATTTATATATGTGTCTTCACATATACATATACACATGCTTATATAAGCACATATGGCCATTTATAGCAGACATGTACATATGTATATATACATGCCTATCCATACACATATATACACATACATACGCATACACATATATACATACATATAGTATATGTGCGATTTTACGTCTAGATTGCCTAACTTCATGGTATAGTTAACCACTTAGTAGTTACTATCTTAATATGTTTCTGTTAAGCTCTCTTGAAGCAAAAGCAGCATATAAATATAAGCAAAGACAGAAATAGAAAATTTTAGCTTTTTTATGATTTGCTGGTGAGCTAAATAAGAGAATGTTATAATATTTTGGTTTTTAAAAATTAATAGTTCAAATATTATTTAAAGGATCCAGTTTGATTTTTAGTCCATATATTTTCATGGCCAGATCAGGACAACATAAATTTAGAGAACTTGGGCTCAACACCTGAGAATTAATCAGTGTGTTAGTTTATCCACATTGACCTTTTTTGATATAAATCTTAACCTTACTATGAGAAATGTGTTGCTTTATATGAAATGACGATATATTGCTTTGTACCTAAACTTATTTCATCCATAGTTTTCTCCACCTGGAGTATAAGTTTCTTGAAATCATGGGTCACTTCTTCACTTTTTTGTATATCAATCGACATTGCTTCATAAAGTGCACTCTATGAAGAAAGCATTCACTAAATGCATGTGGACAACAGTTCAAGTTCATTGAAAATACGTGATTGAGATTTAACATTTAAACAGTTTTCTGTATATGCAGCTATTGCCTCCTGATTGATGTGAATCAGTAGGTAACTGGAATAACCTTGAGAGAATACAGGGGTTGCCAGTTGGGAAGTGACCTGATGCATCTGGGAAGATAGTTTTCATTTATATAGTGTTCTACAATTGTAAGGTATTTTACATACATAATGCTACTGCATCCTTACAGCTGAGGCCTGTAGCAGAAGTGAGAAAACTAAGACTCAGAAAAGCTTTAGTAACTTGGCTGGGATCATAAATAGTATTAGAACCAGGATTCAAATGTAGGCCTTTAGATTCCAAGTCTGGTGGCCTTTTTCAATACCGTGGTATCTTTAGAATTGACCTCTGTTCATGTTACAGTCAATAAACATTTGTTAAGTGCCTACTGTGTGCCAGGCATGTTGCTAAGCACTTTACTAAGACACAAATATAAAGTAAAGATAGTTCTTCCCTCAAGGAGCTTACCACCTTTTGGCAGAGGCTAATATATACAAAAGAAAGCTGAAAAGCAGTGAGGCAGAGTGGAGGGGTGTAGGGGGAAAAGGAAGGGAAGTCACTTGGCATGGGAGTGTGATAAAGAAGTCTGAAGCAGCATATCCAGGTGGGAAATGAAGAGATGGCTGTTCTGGGTCCTTTTCTTAAATGGATGTTTTGGAAGGAGTCCCCACTCTACCCTCCATTCAGAGGGTGCCCAGGAGCAGAGGGCACTGATGAGAGGCAAGCACCAAGGCTGAAATGACCTTGCAAGATGATATTATTGTGATATTATATCCACAAAATATAGAATAAAATCGACCAGAATTTTTTTTTGTCTTAGAATTTACAAAGTTGAACTAAAATTTGATATCCATGTAGATGGAAAACTCATTTATCAATATTCATGTATTTAAGCATAGTGAATTTTCTTTAATGCAGTTTTGAGATTGGAGTAACTTAAAATATTAATAATTGTTTATTATTGTTAAATGACCTGAGGAAATGTATATAATTTTAGTTGAACAGCTTTTAGAGCAGTAAATTAGATAATAATTTAGTTACATGATTAAAACTGCTGTAATAACAGTGAAACTCAATGGCTTCAGCTTCGTTTTCTCTCTATTTTGCTTGGCCATTGGAACAATAAATTAAAATAAAATTTGGCTCCCATAGTTTTATAGGTAGCAACATTTGCATTTTGCTAATATGTATTAAGTATGTAATGATTATAATAGTTCATATTTGTATGGCACCTAAGTTTTAAAAGTACTTTATTAACTTCGGTCCCAGAGAGTAGGTAGTTTAAATATTCATTTCCTTTGAAGACAATGAAACTGAGGTCCAAAAGAGTGAAATAACATATCTGCTATCACGTGATGAGTTTAAATGGCCAAAATTGGTGTTCAAATTGTGGCTCTCTGACTCAGACCTCGTTGTTCTTGATGAGAAAATATATCTATTTTTGTAAAGGAGCTAGGTGACGCAATGGATAGAGTGCTTGTGCTGGAGAAAGGAGGACCTGAGTTCAAATGTGGCCTTGGATAATTACTAGCTGTGTGACCCTAGGCAAATCACTTAACCCTGTCTGCCTTAGTTTCCTTATCTGTAAAATGAGCTTGAGAAAGAAATAGCAATCCACCACAATATCTTTGCCAAGAAAACCCCGAAAAGTGTCCCAGAATCAGACACAGCTAATTGACAAAAAACAAAACAAAAATACCTTATAATTGATTTTTTCATATTTTTACTAAACAGTATTTTCTTGCTTGGTTGGTGACATCATTTGTGTGGTAAGCTGTAATTGTTGTACTGTAACCCCTTTGAAACACGATTCATTATTATGTGGATTTGAATCTAACAAAAGTGAAATGACCCCAAATGTAACTACATGTGGAAACAATATTGTATATCACATGCCTCCCCTGAATGTAGGGCTTCCACTGATGTACATAAGACAGAGTAGTCAGCATTCAAAGTGGTAAAATTAGAGAACAGTGAAAATAGATCTTCAAAATCTTGTCCCTACCATTACCTTTTCTGTTTATTTCAGGCACTTTATAATCAATATTTACAATTTAAAGAAACAGAAATTCCACCAAAGGAGATAGAAAAGTCAAAAATTAAACGTCTCTATAAATTACTAGAGGTAAGTATACAACTTTCTTTGGCTATGCCAATTTCAATTTTTCATATTTTTTGATGTGTGTTTTAAGTTGCTCTTTTGTATTCTTTTTTTCAAGATTTGGATAGAGTTTGGACGCATCAAACTCCTTCAGGGCTACCATCCAAATGATATAGAAAAAGAGTGGGGAAAACTCATTATTGCCATGCTTGAGCGGGAGAAGACTCTACGGCCCGAAGTGGAGAGGTAAAAAAGTTAATGTTTTCAGGCGGATGTTGTCATGAATATTATTATCTTTTAGATATATTCCAACAGATACCTAATGTCTCTAGGCTTTTCATGCAAAGTCTCAGAATCTAGCATTCTTCCAGTTTACATTTCAGTTTCAGAAATCATTATGTTTTCAAAAATCGTTTGACCCTGTGCAGTCACCAGATTTATCCTTCATCTTCTTAATCAGATATGCTTGCTTATTTGTCCTTTTCATCAGTTAATGGAGGACTGTACTTTAAGGGAATACTAAGGCTCCCCATTATTGTCTGTGATACGAAAGGACCTTGGAGGCCTCTGTCTGTAAGAATTTCAGAGGCCTGCTGCAAATATGGAATTCCATGAAAACAAAATATAAAAAGGGATTAAGAAGGGCGATGGAATCTTTATTCAGCTTCCTGACTGATTCCTCATTAGATCCTTAATTTCTTTATGTTTTTAGTTAAGATCAATATTTCCCATATTAGGCATCCCAATTTGGGACATAGCAGAATTAGACATGGGACATAGAAAAGGAGGTGGGAATGATGTTTTTATTATTAGCAAAGCTTTTTGCAATATGACAATAACCTAATCTTTTCATAGCCCCTATCCTTGTGGCACCTGTGATCTTTGTTTCCTCTACTTGCCTATACCTTCTTATCTAGATTAGGAAAAATTGGCTTGATTCTTAAATAAGGAAGTGGGGAAGGAAGAAAATCATTATTCCAGTTTTAGTTGATTGAAAATCATCATGCATCTCTCTTGAAAAAAAAGACAAAGATAGAGTATGTGAATTGGAAAGCTTACAACCTAATATGATATTCGTGTTTCTGGGTCGTTAGGATCAAAATAATGTTGAATCATTTGGCATATGGCTTCTACACTGATATTCTGGGTAATCAAAACTAGACAGCATATTCATTTACTAAAACAGTGGAAAACTTCATCTAAGAATTGTAGTTTGGGGACTGAAAGAAAATAATCATATTATCATAGCCTTAAGAGTTAAAAAAAGATCTTAGAGGCCATATAGTTCAACTTTTTACAGAAGAGGAAACTGAGTCACAGAAAAGTTAAGTGGTTTGCCCAAGGTCACACAAGTAGTAAGTAGCAAAGCTGGGGTTTGAATCCAGATCTTTTAACTTCTTAATCTAGTAGGCTTCCCAGTGTTCTGTATTGCAAAGTCTATGATATCGACTGGTTTTAAAAAATTATATATTAAGGAGCTGTTTCACAACAAGATTTTCAGTAAGCTATATTTGGCATAGAAAACCTGATGTTTCTTCTTACATCCTAAGAGAAGAATCAAAGGGTCAGAAATTTACAGCTAGATATAACCTTAGAAATTATTCATTCCTACTACCTTTGTTCTCGGAGAGAGAACTGAGACCCAAAGGGCAAATCTCTCCTTTATCAGCAGAATTGAAAAGAAGTCCCATGATTCAGATATCTGTGTGCTTTTATATTATTGGGAGGCAAGCATGAAAATCTATGGATAATGGGTTGCGCAAATGCCTTCGTTTTCTTGACACAACAAGTTTGTTGGCACTACCTGGTCATTTCAAATAATCACTACCTGGCATAGAGTGGGAAAGAGGTGGAGTGAGGGAAGAGTTTGCATACCACAAGAGGGAAAAAATAAGTTAAGACAAAATTTGTGAGTTTTGTCTTTGCTGTCATAGAGGTTTGGCTTAAACACCCCCCCCACCCCCTTAGTTGGTAATGAGGTTACAAAGGACACATTGGGTCTGGTTATAAAACGCCTGGCCTCAGATACTCACAAGCTGTGTGATCCCAGGCAGGTCACTTAACCCTGTTTGCTTCAGTTTCCTGTCAGTAAAATGAGCTGGAGAAGAAAATAGCAAACCACTCCAGTGTCTTTGCCAAGAAAACCTGAAATGGTGTCATGGAGGGTGGCACATGACTGAAAAATGTCTGAACAACAAATATACTATAAAGTAAAATAATGAATTTGGAAATTATTTATTACTTCAGTCTGCATAGACAAGATAGTTCCCATAATTTAGGAATAAAAATCTTTATTCCATGTGTGATGGAATTTGTCACTGTATACTTCATAATTGACCTTTGCATTCTCTCTTCACATTTTATAGTGCAGACCTGTCCCTTTAATGTAATGTTATAGCTAAATACTTATATTCCTTTAATTGAATATCTGTTTTAAGTATGACCCTTAGACCGTTCCAGATATTAGGATTTACCATTCTATGAAGGGACAGAAAAGATGATTGATCTATATTTTATACTGAGCCATTTTTTGGAAACTGAGTTGTTTTTTTACCTGGTTTAAAGGCAGTGACTCTTACTAAAAGTATTTGGCATTATCTTTGTCAGTGACGCCCCAATCAGCCTGATTAGTCTGTACTTGTAGAGATGTAATGCAGGCTACAAAAGGCAAACCTCAACTGGCTTATGCCTTGCTGTAGGCTAGATCCTTTTGAATAGTTATCAGAATATTATTTGCTGTGTGTTGAATATGCATGTTGAAGCCTATTTAAAGGAGGCCACAGTGCTCCAGCATTCAGAAGCTACTTTTCTCCCTGGAAGCTGTACTTTTTTTGTGGAGTTTCTTGACTTGCTTTTTGCTTTGAATTGGTTTTGATGGCCCAAGAGTGAAGACTATTCTGAGAATAAAAAATGCAGAGCAGTAGCTATAGTTACTATAGCAGCGACTCTGTTGTGAGTAACACCACCAGCACTCGCACTAGCATCGACTCAAATGAGAATTTTCTTTCTGTCCATTGTGGGCCAACTTTGATCAATTCTTGTATAAGCTTTGGCAATGAATCCTTTGATGGACACAGGTACTGTGTGTTGGGGTGGGACTTTGTCTCTTTTATAAACTTTTGATTGTGTTTTCTATAGAGATAGCTAGAGATTCAAAAGAGTAAAAAGCCGTTAATACTTTTATCTCTCTTCAGGTTGGAAGTATTGCAGCAGATTGCAAGCCGTGTTCAGAGGGACAGTATAGTCTGTGAAGACAAATTGATACTTGCTCGAAAAGCTCTCCAGGCTGTAAGTCATTGTTCAGGCGATGGAGGGTTGGTGGGTAGTATGAATCTTGATTTACTGAAATATTCATTTGTTGGTTACTGGATTATTAGATATTCGCCTTTTCAGAATTTTCAGTTATGCTTTTCTTTCTTTCTTTCTTTCTTTTTTTTTAAAGAAAGTGGTTTTTTGCATTGCATATAGCTATCTGTACTTTTTTTTAGGGTGTGGGCAGTCATCAAAATGGAAGAAAAACAGAGAATCCATAAACAAATTTAAGTATTTTAGATTTTGTTTTTAGTCTAGCCTGGACCTGTGATTAAAAAGAAAACTATGTTTATTCATTCATTCATTTTTATGGGTTTTTCATTCATTCATTTATCTATCTGTTTATTCATTTTTCTCTCTCTTTCCTCCACCATCTCTCTCTTTGTCTGTCTCTGTCTCTGTTTCTCTCTTTTTTTCTCTCTGTCCTTTCTCTCTCTCTCCTCTCTCTCTCTCTCTCTCTCTCTCTCTCTCTCTCTCTCCTCTCTCTCTCTCTCTGTCTCTCTCTCTTTCTCTCTCTCTCTCTGTGTCTCTCTCTCTCTGTCTTAGGGAGTTCCTTCTGCCAATGTAGGTTTGCCCCTATTTTTCCAATTATAGTTTTAGAGAGTTGCCTGGGGCATCAAGAAGTTAAAAGCTTGCCTAGCTTTTACCCAGCCAATATGTATTAGAGATGGTACTTGAACTTAATGTCATCCTGACTGTGAGATGAACCCTCTATCCATTATGCCATTAAACATTTACAGAGCATTTATTTTTAGTTTAGCTTAAATTTTTTTTTCATATTATGAAAGGCAGCATGGTTTTATGGAAAGAAACCAAGACTTGGGAATCAGAGACCAAATTTCACTTGATACTAACAGCTTGTATAACTTTGGGCAAGTCACTGAACCTGTTTGTGCCTCATTTTTTTATTTTTCATTTATAAAATAGACATAATATTGCCTAGAGTACTGACGTCACATAATTGCTTTGAGGATTAAATACAAGTATATGTAAAGCCATTTGCAATTATTAAATCACTAGAAAAATGTCATTTTTGACATTTGTTGATAATTGCTTGTCAATGTATGCCAATTGTATGTAAATTATGACATATCATTAATATTTGTCTTAAAATATAGGATTCTAAAAGATTAGAATCAGGGCTGCAATTCCAGAATGAAGCAGAAATTGCTGGATACGTACTTGAAAGTGAAAATCTTTTACGCCAGCATGTAATCGATGTGCAAATTCTTATTGATGGAAAATACTATCAGGCTGATCAGCTGGTACAGAGGTAAATAAGTTCTATTGATTTATGCTGCACTTATGTGTGTGTGTGTGTGTGTGTGTGTGTGTGTGTATGTATGTATGTGCATGTATGTAAAATGTTCTGAGTTCAGAGTTAACCGTCTTAGGAATATATAATACATTTTTTGATATTTATCTTTTCTTATGTTGAGTGAATATCACCTTGATTATTTTATCTTTCTATATTGATTTACGTAAAGAAATTCCATCATAATGGATAGAAACAAATGACTAACTTTTAAATGCATCTACACATTATTCACTTAGTTTTCTCATCTTTAAAATGAAGAAACTTTGTTAAATTTTTTTCTGGCTATAATATTTTGTCATTCTGTTGAACATAAGTGGAAAAAGCAATAAAATTCTTAAAATTCAAATGCAAAACACTTTTGAAAAAGATGCACATAGAGGGAAAATGCTCTCCTGTCTATAGTGATGAGATTTTAGTAAGCAAATGTAATTATTTTTTAGGGTTGCAAAACTACGTGATGAAATTATGGCCTTAAGAAGTGAATGTTCTTCCGTGTACAGCAAAGGACGCTCCCTGACAACAGAACAGACAAAGCTTGTGATATCAGGAATAACACAAAGTTTAAACTCAGGATTTGCACAGACCTTAAATCCCTGTTTAAACTCGGGGCTGACCCAGAGTTTAACACCTTCACTTACCCCTTCCAGTATGACATCAGGCCTGTCATCAGGTCTGACTTCCAGACTGACACCATCTGTCACTCCTGCCTATACACCTGGCTTTCCATCAGGATTAATTCCAAATTTTGGATCAGGAATGGACACCAATTCATTGCAAACACTCAAGTTGATGCAAATCCGAAAACCACTTCTGAAATCCTCTTTGTTAGATCAGAATTTAACAGAAGAGGAAATCAACATGAAGTTTGTTCAGGATCTCTTGAATTGGGTGGATGAAATGCAGGTAAACATCTTAAATTCAGCCATCAGCTGTACCTTTGTTTCTAGCAATTCCCTGTTAACTCTGGGGCTTTTGTTGCTCTTTTAAGGTGCAACTGGATCGAACCGAATGGGGTTCTGATTTGCCAAGTGTTGAAAGCCATTTAGAAAATCACAAAAATGTTCACAGAGCTATTGAAGAATTTGAATCTAGCCTTAAAGAAGCTAAAATCAGTGAGGTATGTATATTGAAAAACATTACTTTTGTATTTAATTTTAAAATACATTTATTTTTTTCCATTGAATATCCTATAAATCAAATAATTGGTAAATATAACCAAGCACATCCCAATTCAACTCTTCATCACTTCTCACCTGGACTATTAAAATAGTTTCCTAATGGTCTCACTTCTTCAAGTCTTTTTTTCCAGTCCATTCTTAATCCAACTGCCAAAGAGATTTATTTAAAGCACAAGTCTGACCATGTCACTCGTATATTCAGTAAATTCCAGTAGCTCCCTGTAAGCCCTAGAAGCAAATATAAACTGTTTTGTTTGGCATTTAAATCTCTTCAAAATATGGTTCCAGATTACTTTTCCAGGCTTATTACACATTACTCCCCTTCACTCACTCTATGGTCTAGTCAAACTGGCCTTGTTAGTGTTTCTTATATGTGGCACTCATTTCTTGTATTTGTGCTTTTGTAATGGCTCTCTCCCATGCCTAAGACACACTCCCTCTTTACCTTTGCCTTTTAGAATTCTTAATTTCCCTTCAAAACTCAGCTTAAGTACCACTTCTCATGTCAACCTTGACCTAATTTTCATAGCTACCAGTGCCGTCTTACTCCCCAACAATTACCTCATCTCTATTTTTATATATTCTGCATATACCTAGACATGTAGATGTCTCTCCCAATCAAATGGAAACTTCTTTATGGAAGGGGCTGTTTTGTTTCATTTTTTGTAACGCTCTTAGAACAGTGCCTGACACGTGGAAGGCACTCAAATGCTATTTAATTGATTGCCTTGTACATGGTAGCTGCTTAGTAAATGCTGAATTAAAATGAGTAATTTTACTTAACTCAAGATACTTTAACCCTTAAGATGTTCATTTTGGTGCTTCCATATCACACAGATCCAAATGACTGCTCCCCTCAAACTCACGTATGCAGAAAAGTTGCATAGATTGGAGAGTCAGTATGCAAAACTCTTGGTAAGATAAATCACGCCTTTCAGTCTTGTGTGTGTGCATGCCATTGGCAATGACATCATTTTTAACCTATAATTTTCCCTTTATAAGAATACATCCAGGAATCAGGAGCAACATCTAGATACTCTTCATAACTTTGTGTCTCGAGCTACTAATGAGCTTATTTGGTTGAATGAAAAAGAGGAGGAGGAAGTTGCTTATGACTGGAGTGAAAGAAATTCAAACATATCCAGGAAAAAGGAATACCATTCAGTAAGCATAACACTAGCAGTTGACTTAGAGAAACTAGACTTCATTTAAAAATAGCTGTCTAATATAATTTTTCTTGTTCTTCCTATTCCCCCCTCAATACTATTAGGAATTAATGAGAGAACTTGATCAAAAGGAAGAAGTAATTAAGTCAGTTCAGGAAATAGCAGAGCAGCTACTTCTAGAAAACCATCCTGCCCGGCTAACTATTGAGGTAAGTAAATTAATGAATTTTGGCTTTTAATTAACTTTCAGATTCTACCATTGGGAAATAAATGCAAAGTTTGAACAATTTAAGGACTTTTTTTTTCTAACTTATTTAATTTTAACAAAGCAATAATCTTGAAACTAAGTTATATTGAGTCTTACATCCAGCATTCAATAGCAGCCATATTAGAACTCTGTTATCACTTGACCTTATATAAAACAGATTTTGTTATGGTGAGGTCATTCTTGAATCTCATAAGTGAGAGTTTATTTTTTAGAGTTATCAGGAAACTTTCATTTTAACAGATTTACCTATAGCATATTTTTCTGGCATAAAGTGGGACATTGTTATGGCAAGTTTCCAAGGTAATTTGCACATTTCAAGTACAGATGTAGCAAGAGTGTTTTGGGATGGTGTCAAGTTACATAGGTTGTTCAGTCCTGCAGGTTGATGATAGATGTAGTGTTTAAGACTTACAAGATGCCAAAGAAGAGTGAGCAGGAAAGTGGCAGGTGAGCTTTGTGTGTGGGCAAGAGTGTAAGGAGTTTAGACTGTACTCTAAGTGATGTGCATTTAAATATCAACTATAATGTAAGAAAGGAGATTGGATCTAGGAATTTCTTTGCTTGAGATTTCAGTCCTGTATGCTGCTGTGACCACAAAGATAAAACTGCATCATTAGAAAGGCTGTTGGAAGTGCTTCTTTTGTATGAAATGTGATTGGTGGTTGGGAGCCATCTTCTGTTTTCCATGATTTTATATCTTACCAATGGACCCAGATGGCTCTGGAGGAGAAAGTGAGGCTGATGACCTTGAACAGCCTTTCCTTACTTGAATCCAATTCATTTGCAAGTCATGGCATCGTCTTCCTGATGTCATGGTCATCTTTGAGAATGAAGGACAAACCACAACAATGACTGGTGCCCATCTGAAATACAGCTTATGGTTTTGGTTGTTACACATTAAGAAATATGTAGCAAAACTGAAAAACATCTGAGAAAGGCAATTAAGATTATTAGGAAGATTAAAGAGTTTCTGTGAGAAGAAACTGTGACAAAAATAAAAGGAGAAAAAGAATTTTTCAGGATGGAAATATGAAAGCTGATAGATTATATGATTATAGTTTGATAATAATGGTATGGTTAATATATGGATAATCTTAATTTAGCGATATTAACCATTACCAAACTAGAACTTGATGTAAAGAATGACTTCACACACATAACATACTGACATAGTGTGTGTATATCTATATCTATGTATATCTAGATCTCTCTCTATATCACAATTTATTATCTTTAAATCATCCAAAATGCTCTATGAAAAAATCACGTTGATGTCTTATTATTTTTCAAGCAAGTTATTTTGAAAGAGAAATTAAATATAATTGTGTGGGAGGTATAACAGACTCCAAGTTGAGTCACATTAGGTATATGTAAACGTTTTCTTTCTTCACTCTGACTTCTACTGTGCCAAAACACAATCAAGTCCTGTAAACCTGTTTTGAGGTTTACAGTAAAACAACAGCAGCAGCAGCAACAGCAAAACCTTTCCATATAACATCTATGTAATATGTCTTAATAAAAGAGAATGCGTTTTTCACAGTTCAAAATTAAGTTACAGACTTTGCTTAAGGTAATCATTAAAACATTTTGGGCACCCCCTGCTGGAAAACATTATATTGTAAATTGAAATTGTTATAATTTGATGCAGTTTCTCTAACAGAAGGTCATGTCCTTTTTAACATACCACTTTTTAACGTACCACTGATGATCCTGCAAAAACTCACAAAAGGCATTAGGTTTTTGGAGCGTAATTTAAGTTAAAAAATTTTGTTAATTGCCTGATGAGTGTCAAGAACTATGCTAGGTGCTAAAGAGTCTACCAAAAGGTAGAAAAAGTTGCCCTCCTTGAAGACTTTGCAGCCTCATTGGAGAGATAAAAAAGTAGTAAAGTACAATAATATAACCTGTACTATAGAAATTCAGAGAAGGAAATAGCACGTATTTTGAAGTGCAAATAACATTACAAGGAGGAGGTGGGACTTGTGAAGATCCTTTGAAAGAAGTCATAGAATAGAGAAAGAGGGAGGAAATTTGGATATCTGGGAGGAGGGACAATGAAAGGAGATTATATGAACAGAATTTTAGAATGCTCCACTTGAGATTTTAAGTACCTCTTTTCTTTTCTTTTCTTTTCCTTTTTTAAGCTAGGCAATGGGGTTAAGTGATTTGCCCAGGGTCACACAGCTAGTAAGTGTTACGTGTCTGAGGCCAGATTTGAACTCAGGTCCTCCTAACTTCAGGGCCGGTACTCTATCCACTGCGCCACCTAGCTGCCCCCTTAAGTACTTATTTCTAAGGAAGAATAAGTGTACATTTACTCATGTGTTTAGGAAGAAATTCAAAGTATAGAATTCAAAATTTATAATTTATATTCTGTCTGTCTAAAATGTGGTCTTAATCATATCTTTTACAGCTATTTCTCTTTTATAACTTTGGGAGAAAATTCTGAACAGATAAGGATTCTTAGATCAGATGGATGTTTAATCACCCTAATTTTCAAAAGTCCTATCCTGTGCATTTATTTTTTATTACTTTTTTAGAAGTAAAGGAGTAAAAGTCTTCTCTGCTTATGGATTAGTATATACCCATTAAATGTTATGGTGTCCCAAAATGCATTGTGTGATTATAAAATATATGTTTTAGGATACTAGCACATCTCATTTCATAAAACCATTTTCTAGATTTTATTTGTTTCTGACCTTATTATAACTGTGATTCATTTCAAAGGCTTATCGAGCAGCGATGCAGACACAGTGGAGTTGGATTTTACAACTTTGCCATTGCGTGGAACAACACATAAAGGAGAACAGCACCTATTTTGAGGTATATTAGTAAAACTGGTTGTGATTTAATATCATTATAAATAATTAGTTTGACTTAGAATAAAAACCTGTTGTGTTTTATTATTAAATTATATTTTAATTAATTAGAAATAATCTTTAGTGTAGCAGCACAATTTATGATAGGAAAGTTTTCCTCTGTGGCTCAATGGGTCAATTTAATATCTTGTAGTATATGAAGAATTATTTATAGAAAAAGAGTTTTAAAATATCCAAATCTTTGAAGAGTTGAGTAATCTTTATTTTTTTGCATAAATGTATCTTGAAGAAAAGTATACTCCAAAGATGTAAAACTATACCCTTACCAGAACTTAAAAAATATTCTTGATATTTGTATCTGTATTTTATTGTCTGAATAGTGATATAAAACAGAGCCTCCCACCATAATAATAGTATATGTTCAAAATTTAGTGAGCAGTAGGCATGAAATTTAATTAGAATTCAAAAATATGTAAGGCATAGTAAAATATCACATTCTCTATGAGGACTCAGTAAATATTGAGTTATTTTTTGTACAAGGTACCAGTATTTAATATCCTCTTGTACTTGTTTGTAAAGTCTGATGGTCATACAAAGAATTTTAACTTGACAACGAAGTTCTTTATTGTCATAGTTTACCTCTTATGTCATCTCTTCCCTAGTTTTTCAATGATGCCAAAGAAGCCACAGACTACTTAAGGAACTTAAAAGATGCCATTCAGAGGAAATATAGCTGTGACAGGTCCAGCAGCATCCACAAGCTGGAAGACCTTGTTCAAGAGTCAATGGTAGGAATGGAAAATGCCATGTGGATTTAAAAGCATTGAGCTCATTTTACAAGAAACAATATAAATTAGGTTTTCTTCATTGAGTCCTATTAGGTTTTGGTACTCTTACATTTTTTTGTGGGGACAGGGGTGGTTTGGACCTATGACTGCATCGATGTGGGCTACTTCTTGGTATGCATACTTCTTTCACTAGATCAATCACTTCCGTGGGGTTGGAGGGGTTAAGTGATTTGTCCATGGTCACACAGACAGCACGTGTCTCAGGCAGAACTTGAACCTTCCTACTTCTAAGGATGTTTCTCTGTTCACTACACCATATTGCTTCTCATTCTCACCATATTTCTTTCAAATTCACATAACCTTTTTTTGGTTATTGAATTATTGCTTTTTAGAGGTTAAATATTGTGATTTAAAAATATTTCTTGAGTATTTCTATTTGTCTGAAATGAACTACTTTAAAAATTACTTGTTTATGTGTGTGTTCTTAAATTTTCTGAATATATAGGAAGAGAAAGAAGAACTTTTGCAGTATAAGAGCACAATAGCAAGTCTAGTGGGCAGGGCAAAAACAATAATTCAGCTAAAGCCCAGGAATCCTGATAATCCACTCAAAACATCCATTCCAATTAAAGCCATTTGTGACTACAGACAAATTGAGGTAAGAGCCTTGAATCTCCTTGTGATTGAGTTAATCACAAGTATTGGATGTTGAACAGGGAATGTTTGAAAATGGTGCTGTCAATATTTTCTTTCCATTTGTGGTCTGTCACTTGATTGGTTGTTTGTGGGATGAGAGATTTCCGCCCCCTTTCAAATTTGTTCTTTCAAAGGGTCTCCTAATTTTGACCTCATTAACTTTTGTTCTTTGTTTAAAACTAGATAACCATTTACAAAGATGATGAATGTGTATTAGCAAGCAATTCCCATCGTGCTAAATGGAAGGTCATTAGTCCAACTGGGAATGAAGCCATGGTCCCATCAGTGTGCTTTACTGTTCCTCCACCAAACAAAGAAGCCATTGACACGGCAAACAGGTATGCTCCAGCTAAAAGCAGAGAACTAGAATAATGGACCACTTTAATGTTTTCAGATATTAGAGAGGAAAAAAAAATGGATTATTAAAGGGAAAACTTCTTATCGCTGCCAGAAGAATTTCAATTTAGTAAAACCCATGATGTCCCAGTCCATTACACATTATTACAAGAGGAATATGTCTTTAGGCACTTTTGTATCATTAACTTTTAGATTCTTTCTTTTGTTTCAGAATTGAACAACAATTTCAGAATGTTCTGGCCCTTTGGCATGAGTCTCACATAAACATGAAGAGTGTAGTTTCCTGGCATTATCTGGTTAATGAAATTGATACGGTTCGGGCTAGCAACGTTGCCTCGGTAAGTGCAACAGTATAAATCATTTTGAGCATTTAACTTATTTGGGATAGGTATAACTTAGAGTATGGACATGGTACCTAGCCTTGAAGAAAAAGATGGAACATAATTTAGATATTTTGATCTTTACATTTAGAGATCTGCAATGTCTTCTGTTATTATTTATTTCTCATTTATAATCTTACAGCTGCGAAAAAGCATTTGAGATTAGTAGCACCTGGTACCTTTTCAGTAATATAGTGTTCCATTTGAATAAAAATAGTCTTAATTCAAAGTGGCATTTATATAGTTTTGAATTTACAAAAAGCCCCTTTTGTAAACATTATGTCATTTCATTCCACTTTGGTTCTAAATTGTCCTTATTTTACACATGAGGGAATAGGTTCACAGAGGTTAAATTGACCTGCTTAAGAGAATAGGGCAGGGAATTAGGACTCAAATCCAGAATTTTTTTCGATCAGATCCAATGTATTTTTTCACTGTTCTGTACTGAATTTGCTGCATTAGTATAGTAATTGGTATAGTGGGCTGCATTTTGATTATTGCCTATTAATTTTAAATATTTAGTTTGTGTTCATTTAGAGTAGCAGAATGTAGGGCTCAAGTTCTGTTTCTACCATTTACTGACTAGATGATCTTAAAGGAGAGTCAGTGTATCATTTTGAAAAGGGCTGTGAATCTGGAGTCAAAGGATCTGGGTTTGAATCCTGAGAAGTTTTCACTGCTTATTGGCCTTGGGCTTCTCTTTCTTCATATGTAAAAAGAGAAGGTTTTGCTGTATGACCTCTAAGGCCTTTTCCAGCTCACAGTCTGTGATTCCATAAATTGATTTAGCAACTCTTGAGTGTTAGCTTCTTCATCTGGGAATAATATTTTCATTATTTATCTCACAGTAGTAGTTACAAGGGTATACTGTAGAGATACCAGCTATTATTATTATTATTATTATTATTATTATTATTATTATTATTATTATTATTATTATGAGATGGAGAAGAACACTTCCAGGTGACTTAACTGTTCATGATAATGCAATCTAAAATTCTTTTACTTTCTTTTGGAAAATTCTTTAGTTGTCTAGGATAGCCCTTGAAATTTTATTTTATTTTATTTTTGTAACTGTTTACTTAGATAGATTTATTATTTCCTTCAGATAAAGACAATGTTACCTGGTGAGCATCAACAGGTCCTGAGTAATCTAGAATCTCGTTTTGAAGACTTCCTGGAAGATAGCCAGGAATCCCAGATATTTTCAGGCTCAGATATAACACAACTGGAAAAGGAGGTTAATGTATGCAAACAGTATTATCAAGAACTTCTTAAATCAGCAGAACGAGGTAAGTCTGTTTCTTAAAATGACACAGCATTATCTTTTTCTCAAAACATTGATTCTCTGATTTTAAGATACTGTATGATGTTTCATCATCATTTAATAAGTGGGTAACTTGGAAAATCACTGTCTAAATCTCAGTCTCTTCATATATGAATAGGGTTTAGTTAAACTGATACTATTTATCTTTATAAGGTGGTGTGAGAAAAACACCACATTTATATATAAATGCTGCATAACTGTTATTATATAACAGAGGTATCACTGTGTTACCCATGCTAATTATTCATTTTAAAATATGCATCTGTAGTTTTTTGTAGATGGGATGGTGGTGTATTGATGTTGTCAAATCAGAATATGATAAGGGTTCAAGTTGTCCTTAAAATTTAACAGAGCTTAATTTACTCTCGTTATTAAACCCTCCAGTTCGTGTGTGTATGTTTGGGTGTATGTGTGTGTAGCAATACAATATAATTTTGTTATCATACTTAATGCTTTTAATTCATAACACTAGCTCTGTCTTATGATGAGGTAGTACCTTGCTATTCTGGGATAATTTTATGGTACCTGAAGAGAGAATGAATCAGTTTCAAGTGTGTGTCAGATATTTTTCGTGCTTGTACTACTTGATAAAGTAATAAACTATTTAAAAATACATTTCCCTCTTATCTAAAACCCTCTTTTATTTAGTTTTTGTTTTACCCTTTTTTCAGTAGTGGGAGGAGAGAGAAAATAAATGGTTAATAGAAAAAAATTATTAAAAAACAATCTTATAAATATATGAAAGATTGACTTTTCAGTTGATAATTTTGTTTTAACTGTTCTCAATTTTCAATAGAAAGAAAGTTGTCTTCTTAAGACAATTACATCTTTATAATAAGATAAATTCCAAGATGTTTCTTGAGGGTTGTATAACAATTTTTCATTATTCAGAAATAGTTATTTCATATTTTTATTTATATTTTCCTAATTATTTAAAGAGTTCTTGATTTATATATGGAGTTAGTACTTTCTACTTCATCAGGTGATTGAGACACTCCTTCTTTACCTTAAAGCACATAGAAATGTGACTAACCATTATAATTGTTCTTCTTAGAAAAGTATTTAGCAGTATCAGAAAATTATGTTCACATTTTCCCCATATAAACAATAATTAACAGCCTAAATTTATGACTATAATGAATAACAGGGAAATTCTGATAACATTTTAACAAATTTTAGAAAGATAGCTAATTTTGCTTCTTGTATGGAAATGGAACGTTAACCTTGATTTTGGAGAGTATAGAGCTAGGAGCATTTCAGGAAGTTATTGTTGACTGCTGTATTAACATAAAAGTGAAAATGCCCAGAAGATGGAAAAATGTATACATTGAATGTTGTTTGTTTATATCCGTAGAGGAGCAAGAAGAATCTGTTTACAATCTTTACATCTCAGAAGTCCGAAATATCAGGCTTCGCTTGGAAAACTGTGAAGATCGGTTGATTAGACAGATCCGAACCCCACTAGAGAGAGATGATCTCCATGAAAGTGTGTTCAGGATCACAGAGCAAGAGGTAAGTTTTATAAAGACACTTATCTTTAAAGTACAGTCTTAATTCTATTAATTTACCTGGTAGAATTAATTCCTATGATTTTTTAAAATGAGTTTGAGCCTAGTTTTCTCTTTTTATTTTGGTTTTATTTATATGTGATCATACTGATTCCCATCCCTACCCCCAAGCCCGCTAGAATGTAAGCTCTTTGAGGGGAGGAATGATCTCATTTTTGTCCTCATAGAGTCTTAATAAATGCTTATTGATTGAGGCAGCTAAGTGGCACAGTGGATAGAGCTCTGGACCTGAAGTCAGGAAGACCTGAGTTCAAATGTGACTTCAGACATTTGCTAACTCTGTGACTTTTTATTTGAGATTAGTAGCATCTGATACCTTCAAGCCGTGACAGCTGGTACAAATATAGTTTGTGAAGGGCTTAGCACAATTCCTGGCGCATAGTAGGTGCTACATAAATGCTTATTCCTTCCCTCTCTCCCCCATTTCCCAAAGAAATGATGTTTAAAGAGAACTTCTTTTTATCATCACCCTTGATTGCTTGCTGTTGAAGAAATGTTGATGGCAAAACTCAGATGATCATGGCTCAGCTTTCCTCCTAAAAGTTCTTTTAAAGAAAAAGTAAATAATGATTAATTAATGAGAAAGTAGTTATATTCTATTGTTGTTGTTTATCTGTTTTTGAAGAGGACTAATGACATCACATAGTGATGTTTTGACTTGCACACGAATTGGATTTAAGTGAGGCAGTGTTGTAGAAAGTTGTCCGCCTCACTCTTTCTTCCTGAGTCATTGAAATCCAGTGGCAAGATAAAAGTCAAGACAACTGGCGATGGCCTGGGATGCAGTGGATGACCTTGGCATCTTCTATGTCTGACCAAGCTCTGAGTGCTTCACAGCGCCTGGTTTAACTGCCTACATGGCTGTTGGAACAAGTTCTCATCCACCCATTCCATAGGGAAGGTCTTCACATGCTTGGGGTAAACGGTTTTGAGGCCTCTCAGTTACTCTCATTGTGGTTTAGCCTATCTGCAAGATGGTTTACTGGGATGTAGCTGCAGGGTTTTATCCTATTTGTTTTTCTATCTTCCCTTGTGCTTTGTGCAAGGAAAACACTTATTAAACAATAACATTTAAACAAAATCTTTAGGAAAAGCACCCATAACTATAGATATAATTCAGGCATATGTTTACAGACATGGACAGTGTGTTGATTTGTTTTGCTTGACTGTACTTAATTATTAAACATGGCGGATAGAGGAAGGAAAAGGGAGCCTTTGGTAAGTGACAGTGTTATAAAAAATTGGATCATAGGTTTAGAGGTAGAAGGGTTGACCATAGAGATCATCAAATCCAGTTCCCTTATTTTATATGTGAGCATATAAGCCCAACAGAGATTGACTGGTTCAGGGTCACACAGCAAGTAACTAAGGTGGGATTTGAACTTGGGTCTTCTTGACATCATGCCCAGCATGCTATCCACTCTGCTACCTAACTGTCTACATAGTCATGCTTATATCCCAAGTACCCTATTTAGAGTGTATACATGATTGACATAGGTTTGCTGTTTTTTTTTTCCACAGAAACTCAAAAAAGAATTGGATCGACTCAAAGATGATTTGGCAACCATTACAGACAAATGTGAAGAATTTTTCAGTCAAGCTGCGGCATCACCATCCACCCCAACTTTGCGCTCAGAGCTCAACGTCATCATTCAAAGCATGAATCAAGTCTATTCCATGTCTTCCATTTACATAGATAAGTATGTCACTCTTGTGTGCATGTTGGGGCCTCCTTTCCTTGGTACTTTGAAACATCGGACATTTCAGTGGTGTTGGTGCTCCCTTGAGCCATGAAGATTTCAGTCTTTCAACTTTTCATACATTTCATGGTTTTATAGATTTAATACTTAGAGGTCATTTTACAGGTGAAGAAACTGAGTCCTGCAGATGTTAAATGACTTCTCCAAGGTAGTAAAGTAGGAAATAGAATAGCTTAGATTTGAAATTCAAGTTCTTTAATTCCAAAGTCAGCATTCTGGTGTACCCCTGTGTCTGCCCCCCCCCCTTTTTTTTTACGTCAGTACTACATGATTAAACTTTAGTACAATACACATTTGCATAAATACTTGATGTAGCTCTTACTCCTGCAGTTGGAGGCTTTGAGAACGTCTGGCCAACTATAGCTAAAAATTAATCACCTTGTGGCTAACTTTCTGCTAGTGAGCCTTCTTGGTTTAATTAATCTCATTGTTGGATGGCACATGCGCTAGTGAACAGAAACACACATGTACGCACAGAATATATTTATTTCTTGCCAGATCATATCCTAGGAAGAATCTGAGGGGAACTTTAATGTCAGCATACATCTTTTTGTTTTCTTTTTTCTTTTTGGTGAGATGATTGGGGTTAAATGACTTGCCCAGGTTCACACAGCTAGTAAGTGTTAAGTGTCTGAGGCTGGATTTGAACTCAGGTCCTCCTGACTCCAAGGCCAGAGCTCTATTCGTTGTGCCACCTAGCTGCCCTCAGCATACATCTTTTACATGTTTTTATAAGCAAGATAAAGTGAAGGAGATTCATATATTAGTGCTAGCTCTAGCCTTCTTTGATTCTAATTTGAATGGAAACATATTTCACAAGTGTAAATATTAACCGTATTTCTTCATTCTGAATTATAGTTATTCTTAAGAAATAAATTAAACCTTTAGGATGATTTTTTATGACTTCTTTGTAGGAGAGTTTCATAGAAAGCCATGGGCCAACATAAACTGGGTAATAGGGAGGTAAAGCTGTTGTATCATTTTTCCACATCAGCAATCCCATGGCTTAGCTGTTAACCTTCTGATTTTGGGGGATTTCTTTTTGGAGTATTTTTTATAACATCGTTTGTGTGATGATGTATCAAATAGTCACATTCTAGGTATGTAGTGGTGAATTGGACTGTATAGGTTTTGACTAGAGTGTAACTAGTATATGAATAATGAATGAAAAAAATGTTTATTAAGTGCTTACCATGTGCAAAGCACTAGAAATACAAATAATAAAGCAAAGGATCAGTACTCTCAAGTAGCTCACATTATAATAGGGGAGATAACCCATCTAAAGGTGGTCTCAACTTCAGGACAGATGGAGAGGCCCATGGTCCTTAGCCTGTTACAGCAAGGCAGATAGGAATGCATTTTCTTTAGTGTAATTTCCGTGTACGAAACCATGCCAGTCTCTAATGTTAAATCACTTGATGATGCTAAGGACTTTAAATTGGAAAGAGTAACTCCTAGATCTAGCATCAAAGGCACTGGGCTATAGTCCCAGCTCTGCTACTTAATACTGAATGAAGGTATGCAAATCACTTGACGTCTCTTGGCCTCATCTGTAAAATGAGGATTTTGGTATATATGATTTCCAAGGGCTTTTATAGTTCCAGGTGTTTTACATTCCTTGTAATAGATAATATCTAAGCTCCTGAAATCTTTGAGTCTGAGACTAATTTACTTGTAAATAAAGTATTATAAAATCACTAGCTTATCAAATATCTCATGTCATCTTAGGACTAAAAATATTCTGGGTAAATAGACATTTTATTGTAGTAAAATGATTACTTAACGTAAATAACTTTTTTCAGGTTGAAAACTGTTAATTTGGTATTAAAAAATACTCAGGGGGCAGAAGCACTTGTAAAACTCTATGAAACTAAACTGTGTGAGGAAGAAGCTGTGACAGCTGACAAGAATAATATTGAAAATCTCATGAGTACATTGAAGGTATGTAGGACTCACAAATACAAATACATCTCTCTGGGGAGTCATATCAATATCTCTTTCGCATAGATGTACATGAAAGAGATATATCTATGTATGTATGTGTATGTGTGTGTATATGTGTGTGTGTGTGTGTGTATCATGTATATGTGTATATACATGCAGTACACATAAAGGGTAGACATTTGGATCCCAATGCATAGACCTATGTGCATCTCTAAACATAGTATATATGTCTATATACTCTACTGTAATTCTTAATAATAATTGACCACTTTATAAAATTAACTTATTATAAAGAACCAAATTAGCTACAACTCTCTGTTGCCATTTAAAGTCCCTAAATATCTCGCTATAGTAAGTTGACTTCAAAGTTACTATAGTAGGAATAAGGAGAATCTTTATTTAAAAAATAAGTAAACAGCTTCGTTATTCTCAAGCACAAGAGAGTACTTTGTGGTTCTTTGGTGGTGTTGAGGTGTAGGAGGAATAAGTTAAAAAGCAAAATAAGATATCTTTTGATTACCTGTTATTTACAGGGCAGTGTTCCACAGATTGCTTAGAGTATGAAGTATGATTTTTAAAAATTTAAGAAAAGGAATAAATTATGGAATTATTTATGTATATTTGTGTATACTATTCTACAGTTTATTCCATCGCAATTATCTCTTCACCTCTACTCCATCATAAAGCCCAGCTCTTTTAAGAGGTTTCTCAAGATCCACTGTTTTCATAAAGCATTCCTTGAACCCGCCTTCCCAAATTGTATTGTATTTAACTACTTTCTATTTATATGTGTAGTATCTTGTATTTATATAGTGCCTTAAGATTCACAAAGTGCTTTGTGTGTGTTATCTGATGTATTCACTCATGGCAACATAGAACCCCAAATTGCTCTCAGTGAATGGGACTTCACACATTGTATAAATGCCAGCTATATCACTACCTGTATGAGTAAAGAAATCGTATATGATCAAGCAGATAAATGTACTGAGTTTTATCACTTAATAGCTGACATGTTCTTAGAAATTATTTTAATAATAATTTTTATTTTTTTAAAGCAATGGAGATCTGAAGTAGATGAAAAAAGGGAAGTATTTCATGCTTTAGAGGATGAATTGCAGAAAGCGAAAGCCATCAGTGATCAGATGTTTATAACCTATAAAGAACGTGATCTTGATTTTGACTGGCACAAAGAGAAAGCAGATCAGTTAGCTGAAAGATGGCAAAATGTTCACACTCAGATTGAAAACAGGTTGGTATGATTTTGTTTTGTGATATCTTTCAACAATGTTAAACATCTGGTTTAATTTTTGAAAAGATCTGTACACTACACACACACTTAATAGACACTATGGTAAATATACTAGAGTCAGTATACTAGAATATGTGTATATGTGTATATACATATATTCACACATGTCTTATAGTCCACACCTATACGTTTACATGATATTTTGGGGGGCATAGGGGAATACCAGCTGGAGGGAGGGAATCAGGAAAGCCTTCATAAACTGACAATATGATCTGAATTCCTTGGAAGAATACTACCACAAAAATTAAAATAATTTTTATCCATAAGGCACATAAACATGGGAATCACCTTTTGTAAAGCCATGAAAACTGAAGCACAGTTAATTATGATTTGCTTAAAGTAACTGAGTTCTTGTTTTGGAACCCAACATTATTTATCCTCATTTCAGTGAATTAGGCACTCAACCATGTCAGTGTTAGCAAAGCTAATGGGTCATGCCATGCTTGTAGTGAGTATTCGGTAAATACTTATTAATCATGATGGACCAAAGCTACATAGTTTTGACTTTTTCCTATCAAGGGGCTTGAAATGTTATTACTCATGGATATTGTTGGAAGTTCCAAACTAATTTTCTACTGATAATTCTTTTTTTCAAATGCTACCAAGATTACGTGACTTGGAAGCTATTGGCAAGTCTTTGAAGTACTATAGAGATACATATCATCCTCTGGATGATTGGATTCAGCATGTTGAAGATACTCAGAGAAAGATTCAGGAAAACCAACCTGAGAATAGTAAAACATTGGCAACACAACTGAATCAACAGAAGGTATGAAAAAATAGTCCCATTTACCAAGTCTGTGATTGTATTAGGTACATAATACTTCTTATCTTCCCTTGTCTCCACCATCCTCCAGTTCCCTAAAGAAACACAATTTTCCACACCTATAAGTAATGGATTGGTCAGTAAATCAAAATGGAGTCCATTCACACATATCATTTATTTTATTTTATTTTACTTTAAATTTTCAAATCTATTGCTTGATTTAAACACAGAAAATCAAGCAGCACATTTGGATGGCTTTCAGATAGAAACAGTCATGTAAGCCACACATGTTGAATTCATTTGCTTTTGTGCTCTTCCTGTGTTATATGCAGGGCCCAGGCATTTGATAAATGGCCCTTTGATAAATAAGACTGATGAGTGGCAAGAAACTAAACAGTACAGTTGGAGAGATGAATGTCCTTGCCTCATTCTTAAAAACTGATCAGTTCTACTTAGTCCTGGGTAGGAGGAGAGAGAGGGCAACTCAGATTGGGGTAATTATTCAAAGAAGATGAATAATGCGTAGTTTAGAAAACCCTTGAAGTTGTGTTAGTACCAGAGCTCATCTTGCAGTTTGGATCTTCAGTGGCTTGGAACTATTGATCTTGGACTGAGTTAGACCTCTCATCTTATCTCAGCGTGGTACAGTTTCCCTTTTCTTACTCAAAATTTGACTTAGTGATCTAAACAGAACATTTTCTTTTTGATGATATGCTTTGACCAAAAGATATTTTCCTTGGTTATGTGTGGATGGATTCTTGAGAAGAGTATAATGGTCCCTATACCAATGATATTCAGCTTGTCTTCCTTTGTGTGCCATATTTGAAATGAGGAGATGGAATGAGGAGTTACTAAAGGAAGAATGTTCTTGTGCCCCACTGTATATATTGTCTTCACAAGTTCCATTCCTTCAGGATCAGGGAAAATAAACATTGTTTTTAACTTTTCTAAGAAATTATCAACTTTACCCATATGTAAAGGCGCATGTAAATTATATTGGGGTAAGGAGCTAGAGAATTAAATTAAGAGGTTATATCAGTCACTGATTAGGCATTCTGACAAATTGAAAAGAAGTTTTTGTTAACTTTTTCTTGGTTAAATTACCTCTATTAAATTATTTCCCTGTTTATAGATTCTGGTATCTGAAATAGAAATGAAACAGAATAAAATGGATGAGTGCCAAAAATATTCAGAACAGTATGCAACTGCTGTGAAGGTAAGAAATACTGTAGCATTCCTGAGTGAGATTTGGTATCAGTTATGTGATTCATTACAGTACCCTGAAGGGTGGTATAAGCCTTTTGTTCTTTATAGAAGAAAGGGATTCCTATTTTTAAATGTAGCTCCTGTATTCTGTGCCATTGTTTAGATTTTATTTAGAAGATAAATTATTCCAGTGTATTGGTTCTTTCCACTAAGGTCGACTTCCAAGTTAGGAGGTGGAATCTTCTTTTTGTCATGTTTTCTGCCTCAGCACAGTTGGACAATTCCAGAAAGTGCTACTGACTTATAAAATATTTGTAATGTTTTTCCTTCCCTAATGGTATGTCACTCCTACAGAGTAATAAAGTTCCTAATTCTAGTCTCAGAGCAAAAGAGAGACTGTGGCCAAATACAGGGTATCCCAAAGTCTTAGTGCAGATTTAAGTTATTAATGGTAGTTATTAAAGCTAAAAACTGCATTAAAACTTTTGTGACCTGTTTCAGAAACATGTGTAATGGGTCTGTTTCCCCATGGAATTTTCCCAACAACTTGAAGACTTCATTAACTACATGACCAGAACTATGTTTCCACAGAAGGTGCAACTCTTAGATTAGAAAAGTACTTTTTTGCAATATATTCTTTTTTGTTTGTTTGTTTTTTATTTTTTGGTTAGGCAGTGGGGTTAAGTGACTTGCCCAGGGTCACATAGCTAATAAGTGTTATGTGTCTGAGGCCAGATTTGAACTCAGGTCCTCCTGAATCCAGGGCCGGTGCTCTATCCACTGCACCACCTAGCTGCCCCCTGCTATATATTCTTAACTCAAAACTTAGCTACAGTACGGTTTATTTTTGAGACTCTTGATAAATTATAGAACCATGCTTCTGAGAATTGCTTTAGTTAATTCAATGTCCTACCAAGTCGGCTTGCTTTTTGTTAACTTAATTGCTTGACTTCATTATGCAGGACTATGAATTACAAACAATGACTTATCGGGCTATGGTAGACTCACAGCAGAAATCCCCAGTGAAACGCAGGAGGATGCAGAGTTCAGCTGACCTCATCATACAAGAGGTAATGGAGATGCTTTTTAAACAGAGTGGTTCATGCTAATAGATGTTAAATCTAAAAGGAAGCATAGAGATGACTTTAAGTATTTTATTGAAGATTCATTAACAATGACAGATTTGAAAAAATCCCCAGGAAAGCCATCAAACATAAGCAGTGAGCAAATTCTTGTGAGTTAGCCTGATAGAGATGAATTATCTGAAAGTTGGGTGAATATTTCATAGCATTACTTTAATATTGTTAAAATTATTAAGAACAGTTTTAACTTTACATTTTTGTATATGTGGTTATTTTTGACAGTTCATGGACTTAAGAACCCGCTACACAGCTCTGGTTACCCTAATGACTCAATATATTAAATTTGCTGGTGACTCTTTGAAAAGACTGGAAGAAGAGGAGGTAACCCTTACATTTAATAGGAAATTATTTTCAAAAGAAAAAAAGTATAGTCATGAGTCTTCATGTGAGTTTAATAAAAACTTGAATATTAATTTTCTTGCATTGAAAACTACAGTGTAACTAGATGATTACAAATAATAGTTAGGTTCTCTAAGAAAGTTCCAGAAATTAATTGTGGTGAAAGTTAAGGGTATGTATCAGAAAATAATGATCACAGTGATTTTTGAACTGGATGTGATTTTAGACTACAACATAGTTTTATATTAACAGGAGCACACTTCTAACAGAGGCTCGCTGAGTTTTTGTAGTTAATATTTTTTAAAAGCCAGTATTGAATATAGTAGTTCTTCCAAATGTTTTTCATGTATAGAATTCTTAGTTATCCAAATTTATTTGAAGTTCAGCTTTAGGTCTTTCTTATAAAGTATAATTTCCTATTAATTATATTCATAACCATCTTAATCTTATAGTTGAGATTGTCCAGGACCTAAATATGACAGATGAAATAAAATATTTTAAGAAAAATGATAGAGATAGATATTGAGATATTTATAAAAATAAATAAATATAGAGATAAACATTGAAAATATTGAGACTATAGGTATTCACTATTTGTTCTTCATCTCGATATTACTAAGAAGACTAGGAACTAAACTATTAGCCTCATCATGTTTTTTAAGGTGAGATGAGTAATTTATCCCATGGCATGGCTGTCATGATGTGAGTAATCATTTAATAATAGTAGAAATAAAAAGAGGCTTAGCTGTTTTTAGACACTTTATCAGGCACAAAATAATCATCTTTAGTTTAGGGTTAGGGTTTATTAAGGTTAATTTATAGTGTAACAGTGGTTACAGTTTTAAGTATTGTTACAGATGTTTTTTTCCCTATATTTTCTCATGGCAAATTTTCTTTGAAGTCTAAGATTCATTTACAGTTACTCAGTGTCTCAGTAAAATAATACAGAGAGATATTTGTGTGTGTGTGTGTGTGTTTTTAAATCATGTGTCTTTGTGAAGTCAGAGCTTCAATGAAAAAAAACCATACAGATAAGCCATTGATTTTGAAAAAAACAGGTGGTGGTAGAAAGCAATTCTGTGCTACTTGTTAAGAACTGTTAGATCATTTTTCTAGAGGGTATTTGATGTAGTGTGAGATAAATAGACTTTTTGATTATTACACCAAAGTGAATGACTTCAACTATAGCATAGCATTGCATTTTTAAAATCTATGCATATGGAAAAAATATATGATTTTAAAAGGTCTGTTTGTCCCTTGTGGCTTAAAGGGAGTAAATTGTGCGTTCTTCCTTCCTTCCTTCCTTTCTTTCTTTCTTTCTTTCTTTCTTTCTTTCTTTCTTTCTTTCTTTCTTTCTTTCTTTCTGTCTGGTATTCTTGTTTTCATCTCAGAACAGACAAAGATAGCATGATGAATAGCTATATTTCAAAAACAAATATGTGTGGTATTGATTGTTCTCAGTAAGTTCTCTCATGTTGCCTTAATTATTCAAATTCAATTTTTCTGGTTTTATGCTATAAAATCCACTTTTTTGCTTTCTATCACCTAAGAGAACAAAAAGGACATTTTAATAGTAATGAATTTCTGGGAGAGCTGAGTTTCTTCCTAAGAGTATGAAAACCTTCAAAACTATTTTGGTCTGTTCTGAGTTAAAATAACTATCTTCTGCAGCAAAACTACTAACAAGTCTAACTGCAAAAACAGTATAAAGAGCTTTACTTTATAGTCAGATTAACAAAGTGATTTTTCTAATCTCCATAATGGAACATTAATAATTTTCCCCAATTTTTACATTTTTAAGATCCTGCTTCATTTCAAAAATTACCAACATATCTTGATTGTATTAATAATTCCTCACATAAAATAAAAATAATTTACTTTTCCTTTCCCTGTTTATTAAATACATCTGATTTCAGATGTGTCATTTATCCCATTCTTCTGAGCTTATTTGATATAGTCTTCAATGTTCCTAAAATGTTATTAAATTATGCATTGTATCTGCAAATATGATCATTTTAAATTCAGAAAATGTTTTAAAGGTAAAGAAAGCAGTGTGGTTTAGTGGAAGGAACATGTATAGTATTTAAGGTTTTGGAGACCTTGGTTCAGATCTCACCTGAACTTCTCACTGTATGATTTGGAACAATTTTTGTCTCTCTCTCAGCCTCAGTTTTCTGATTTTTAAAATCAAGGAGTTGAACTACATAGTTTTTAAAGTCCCCCCCAGCATGAATAATCTATGAATTTCTTTGAACTTTCTACAAATAATTAAGTCAGTCTAAAGCAGGTTTGTTTCTACTTCTACTTCTCCTTAACCCCCCCCAGATTTTTTTTTTTTATGGTTTAGAATATGAGCAAATGAAAAAAAAAACTCAAAAGATGAGAGGCAAGATGTTAAAGACAGTTTTTTTTTAAACGGAACCATGAAAAACTACATTTAGGATAAGTCTTCTTTGCTGGAACACGAAATTTTTAGGCAATGAAATATATTTTTAACCAAACGAACCAAATGAAGGCAGTCATTGCTACAACTGTAAAAATAGATTAGTCTTCTCCAGGGCTTTGTTTCACATGAATACTATTTAAAATAATCCAGTATTTAGAAAAAAAAACTCATGTTTTCAAATTTCCCAAGATGTGGGCTTTAATGGGCTGATAGTCTTTATGAGTTGCTGGGAATGAAATAAATCATTAAGGGGAGACTAGTCTGATGATAAGCCTCCCTGCACTTAACTGGGCTGGTCCCAGAATAGCAGCCATAGACTGTCACCAGGCCTGTACTCAAAAGTTTTTAGCTTAAAGTGGTCTCCCAGTGCTTTGGCTTAATTGATGTAGTTTTTGAGAAGTCATGGTCACTTCCATGTTGTAATGCAGCATCTAGAGCTACTAGAATTATTTAATGGAGGCTGCTAAGATGCCATTGAAGAATATGGCAATATTATACTGAAATTGGCAGAGAGAAAAACTATAATTATATAATTATGGGGAAAGCTATAAGATGCACAGGCTGTCAGATAAAGAAAAATGACCAGAAGCTCTAGTCTAGATGAGTTGTTGAATCTTTAATCAAGTTTAATATGCATGATGATGATTTTAAGTTGTATAAAATTAACAGGACTGTGGCACATAATGAATATTAAGGAAGTTTCAATAATCAAGCAATTCTAAATCACTTCACTTTTTGTTTCATATATTATGTAATTATCAGATGACTCCTGCATTATTTAAAATGTAATTATGTAATAGAACTTAATATACTTATCTCTTCTCATACTTTGAATCTGAAACCATAAGTATACTTTAAAAAATCCTGCTTAACAAATCTTACTGTATAAAAAAGAATGGCAAAAGTACCTGAATTCAGAATGGATTAGAATTCACATCTATCACAAAAGAAAATCTCTGAGAATCTTATAAAAGATAAGCATGTTTATTAAAAAAAAATAAAGCAGCTGTCAGGTAATATAACCGCCTTTGCATTAGCAAATTTATTGATATGAGGAGCATATCTGGTAAAGAATTTAGATTTTAGAAATTGCGTATTTCATTATTCTTTTCCTTCTCTCCACCCAAGTTTAGCTGACTCCAGATTAGTGTGAATAATGAATCTCCAGAAGTATTCACAGATACTAAGATTCTTGCCAAAGTTATAATTATGTAACACACGGTCATTCCTTCTAGTCCAGTGGAAATGTTCCATGCTAATTCAAATAATGTGACCACTTCTGGGGATTTGTTATTCACAGTAATCTGGACTTAGCTATATTGTTTGAGTTATTTCCTAATTTGTAGATTACTTTTAAACTTCTGTATTTTGTTTAATTTTTAAAAATTTCACAGCATAAGGCATATGTTTTACTTTGCGTAGGGCTGGCCAATAAACACTGAATTCTTTATATTTATTTCATTTCTGCATGTTATGTTGTTCTTTGTATTTACCAAAACCTGTGTTGTTAAGAGATGAATAGTGTGGTATGTAACAAGAACACTGGATTGTTTGATCAGGAGGCTAACTCCAAGCCTTGGGCAAGTTACTTCTTAACTTCTTGGGATCTCACTCATTGTCCTTATTTGTAAAATGAGTTTAGACTAAATTTTCATTAAGATTCCTCCCAGATCTAAGAGTGTATTTGTTGTCTAATTGTTTTAAGGAAACCATTCCTTAGAGACCAAAAAAGATCATTCACAATTTTTGTATGTATTATGAATTCCTCTTATGAAGGGTGTTTTCTGCTTGCAACTAATGGTTACTTTCTGAAGCTTCCTATCTGGAGAAGGTGTTAGTGTTGGTGGTGGTGGTATTGGCTTATTCTGCGCTTTGGCGTCTTTGGTTTGTAAGTACTTTGATGAGCTTTGCTTCAGACATTTTGGGCTACAATTGTAGCAGAACAGACTTGATATTTTTAATAAATTTCTTATAGATTAAAAGATGTAAAGAGACATCTGAACATGGAGCCTATTCAGACCTGCTTCAGCAACAGAGAGCAACAATGGTGGAGAACAACAAACTCACAGGAAAGATTAGTGAGCTAGAGAAAATGTTAGATGAGCTAAGAAAACAAAAGTTCCAGGTAGAGCAAGAACTTCCCAAGGTAAAGGCAGCTGCGGAAAATGAGCTGAGGAAGCAACAGAGAAATGTGGAAGATATTGCTTTGAAGAAAATAAGGGCTGAGAGTGAAGCCAAGCAATATCGCTGTGAACTTGAGAACATCGTGAAGGAGAAGATAGCAGCAGAGCAAGAGTTAGAGCGTGTGAAGCGGCTGACATCAGAGGCGGAAGCTAAGAGAGCTGTGGTTGAAGAAAACCTCCGAAATTTCCGGCAGCAGTTAGAGGAACACACAATTACTAGAAGGACCTTGGAAGACCGTCTTAAAAGAAAAGACACAAGTCTCAGTGACTTGGAGCATCAGAAAAGCATGCTGATGGCAGAACTAAGAAGAAAAAAGGAGAGTGAGGAAGAACTCTTGAAACTGATAAAGCAG